ACCCCGCGGAAGGGCTCCACCGGCCGCAAGCGCTGACTTCCCGCGGCGGAGCGGGTATGCGCGGCTGCCAAGCGGCGGTGGGCGTGTCGGGCTGCCTCTCCGAAGTTGGCAAAGTGAGCCGAGCGCTGCGTCGCGCCTCTTGCTCCGCGCGCGGTCCGCTCGGCCTCGGAGGCGCGAGAGGAAGAGCCCCGCGCCCGGGACAGAAAGCGAAGCTTGCGGACCGTCGCCCCCGTCCCCGTTCACCTGCCGTGTCCCAGATCGAGATGTTGTGGGGGCCCCACTGCTTGAGGTAGAAGGCGCCCCCGACGGTGCTGACGGTGTCCTGGAAGCGCCGCTCCATGTAGCGGTGGAGCAGCGACGTCTTGCCCACGTTCATGTCCCCCAGCAGCACCACTTTTCCATCCGGTTTCATGTCGTCCCGTCGGGCGTGATGGCGCAGCCTCGTCCTGGCGCTCCTGGAGTTCCTCGGGGAAGGGAGGCGGAGTTGCGCTTTCGCTCTCCTCCTGGGGCGGAGGTGGAGAAGGGGAAGGGGAAAGGGCTGGGAGCCCGGCGGCGAAAGGCCTGGGGAGAGATCCGGGCGCCCAGAGCGCTCTGACCGGCGGGGCCACGCTCACCTCCTCTGGGGAGCGCGGCTAAGGGCTGAGCAGCACTGACGAAGTTGGCTAAGCCATGGTTTGCTTAATCGTGATTTACTGACTAAACTACAGTAGAACTGGGGACGACAAGGGACAGGGGCTGGGTTCCTGGAACAGGCTGTCAAAACCGAACAAGCCCCATTATGATGCACTCTATTTTAGAGTATATTTCTGTATTAAGTTTAAATATGTGACAAAATATTTTAAAATCGTATTAAAGGAGAGTTATGAATTATTTTTCACAGGCCATCAGCTGTCCTCATTGTCTGTGGAAATTTCTGTCCACTTCAGTGTAACTTGTTTCTGGGGAGTAAGTCACACACTGAACATAAATGGCCTTACCTTTGAGTAAACGTCCATAGGATTGTTAAATACCATGACAGAGCAACAGCATGATTCCTCAGTCAGTAAGGAAAACTGAATAATAAAGTGAAAAATGAAATATAATCATTCAGCACTCCAATTGTTAACCTTTCTGAAAATCATAGTTTCACCAGCTAGAAATGCTGTGATGCCAAGGAAGTACCCTGGCTGGGCTATTAAGCTGGAACTTGGTTCCCTCGGTACTAAAATAATTATGCACGGAAATGGAAAAAAGGAAGCTCCTAATGTTGAAGACTGGATATTTAAACTTATGGACTTGGCAGAGATGGCAAAGCTGACACGTCTAATGAGAAGGAAATCTGTAGAGGCTTTTATTAAAGACTGGAGTCCGTCCTCTACACAAATAGAGAAAAATAGCTACAGGAGATAACAGAAAATTTAAATAGTGATTACAATGGTATAAAAGAATAAGAAATGGTTAATGCATCCATGAGGAAAGTGAAGGATAGAAGTAGGCTATATGTTTTTTGGGGATTTTTTAAGTTAAATGTTTAGCTTTGTGTTTGTAGGTTTATGTTTTTGTATGTTTATGCATTGTTTTTTTTTCTGTTTTATGTGTAGAATTTTAATAAAGTTTATATACAAATACTAAAATAATTGCAATTGAATATGAAGTGGTAGAGTTTCATGGCCAGATTTGTTGTAGCATCTGGGTGGGTCAAAAAAGTCAAAATGGTATTTATTTATTTATTAAATTTATAGGGCCACCCAACTTACGGTGACTCTGGCTGGCTTACAGAATTAAAACCCATGATACAAAAACCAATAAAACCCCACCCCATCCCCCTGGTGGCAACAAACGCACTCAAGACTAACCATTTGATTGGCTTCATATCAGCCTGGGGTCCCCAGGCCTGCTGACAAAACCATGTATTCAGGGCCTTCTGGAAAAGTATCAAGGTGAGGGGGAGTCTTATCTCTGGGGGAATTATATTCCATAGGGAGGGAGCCACCACAGAGAAGGCCCTTTTTCTTGGTCCCACTAGATGTACCTCCCGCATTGAAGGGACCCGCAACATACCGAGCCTCCCCACTCTAGTGAGCTGGGTAGATGTAACTGGGGAAAGGCAGTCCTGCAAATAACCTGGCCCCAAGCCATGTAGGGCTTTAAAGTTGATAACCAGCATGTTGAATTGAACCCGGGAGCAAATCAGCAACCAATGCAGCTCCAGCAAAAGAGGTGCCACATGTACAAATCTAGGCCTGTGCAAAACTCTGTAGGCTGCCACATTTTGAATCACCTGAAGCTTCCGGATACTTCTCAAGGGCAATCGCGTGTAGAGTGTGTTACAGTAGTCCAAATGGGAGATGACTAGGGCATGGGTGACTGTGAGAAGGGCATGTGGGTCCAGGAATGGACATAACTGGCACACAACTCGCAGTTGCGCAAAGGCCCTCCTGGCCACAACTGCCACCTGCTCCTTGAGCAGGAGTTGCAAATCCAGGAGATTCCCCCAGATTATGCAGCGGGTCCGTCTGAGGCAGTGCAACTCCATCCAAGACCAAAGATGGTAATTCTTCTGAGACCAAAGAGCCCCGAACCCAAAGCCACTCCATCTTGCCACGGTTCAGCTTCAACCTGTTGTTTCCCATCCAGACCTCAACAGCCTCCAGGCACCAAGAAAGGGCAGTCACAGCATCGCTTAACTCACCATGAGTTACATGTACATGTAACATGAGTTACATGATGTACAGCTAAGTATCATCTGCATACTGATGATATCTCACCCCATGGTGGCAGATGATCTCGCCCAGCAGCTTCATGTAGATGTTAAACAGGAGTGGAGAAAGTACCAACCCTTGCAGAACCTGGCAAAGCAGGGGCCATGAACTGGACCTCTCGCCCTCAATCAACACCGATTGAGAATGGCCTTGGAGGAAGGAAATGAACCAGGGCAACACAGTGCCCTCCACTCCCAACCCCCAAAGCCAGTCAGAAGGATACCATGGTTGATGGTGTCGAAAGCCACAGAGAGGTCAAGTAGAGCTAGGATGGACACGCAATCCCGCTCCCACCAGAGATCATCAAAAAGCACGACCAATGCCAATTCCATCTCATATCCAGGCCTCAATCCCAACTGACGGGTCTAGATAATCAGTTTCATTCAGGATCCTCTGGAGCTGCAGCACGACCACCTTCTCAACAACCTTCCCCAAAAAGGGAAGGTTGGAGACGGGACAAAAATTGTCCATCAGGGTGGAATCTAGCGATGGCTTCTTAAGAAGGGGGCAAACCCACAGCCTCTTTTAAAAGGCTGGGGCACCACCCCTTCCTCCAGAGATGCATTAACCACCACCAGTATCCACCCACACATCACCTCCCTGGAGGCTTTCACCAACCAGGAGGGACATGGATCTAAAACACAGGTGGCTGTGCTCACACTCCCTAGGACCCTGTCCACTTCCTCAGGAGCAACAGGGTCAAACCATTCCCAGGTATCTGTGACTATGCAATTGAAACATCTTATTTTTTTGCATGCAACGTGTAGAAAAGGAGCAGGGCTTCGCTTGCACAGTGGTGGACACCATCTACAGATGTCTGTTTGTAGCACCATCAAGGATGGTATTCCTGAGATTTATTGTTCACCTTTGGGGGAAAGGGCGTTACATCATCAACATGCAGGATGGCTAGGATGGAGTTCTCTGGCAGATTGTTGGTGACTGTCTTTATGTCATGATTATTCCTAAATCAATGGCTGTCCAAGTCTTATTCATTTGTGTATTTTGTGTAGTGGAAGTTGTACAAAGGTGTACCTATGCAAATTTGGTTTTGGGTATCTAGAGGAAATTCCTTCATCAGGTTATATCATTCCTTTGAGTATTTTTCAGTGAGATCTGAGAATCAGATTCTGTAAAATATGGTATTGGAGATTTGCCTCTTGGCCTTTTGTATTGTGAGACTACGCTGAAGCTGCCATAACCTAAAGATGAAGCAGGCACGTAAGCAGAGAGGACAAAAGCCAGGAAACTTATCTATGAGATCCCTTCAGGGAGGTAGATAAGAGGGAAGCAAGTTGTTAAGGAAAAAAACAAAGGACCTGAACCAGAAAAAGGAAGTTGGGCCT